CGGATGTCCAAGAATACAATGATCGTCGGTCTCTGATAAGCATGACGGTGCTCTAGCAGCTGTCGGAGGGTGAAGATTTGATCGATGCATCCACGATCATTATTAAGATCTATTTAATTTTCTTGTAATACAGTGAGCTTTTTTGCAAACATACCCAGGTTGATCAATTTGGCTGTTTTGGTTACCGAGGTATTGCAGCTGTTGCATTTCTTAACCATATATATAGGACAATTCAAGCTTAAAATCCACTTAGATCCTCAGGTAGTCAAAAGCTACCTGAAAATGATTGTAACAGACAGGGAAGCGATTTACAATCCCGTCCAGATAGTGCATGTACATAAGCATCCATGGGAGCACAAACGTATTCCAGTTGACTTATGTAATACGCTCACCGACCCCACAACGGTTACTCCGTAAATCGTGCCCATGACAGATCATTTGCAAACGAACCTTGCCTGTCGGATTTGGTTGCGTGTGTTCTTGGCAGGCGAAAACGAGAGAGAGAGGAAACAGAGGCGTGAAACGATATTGTTCGCATGACCATCTTCCTCGGCTCTGATGATTGTGTAGATGAGTTCACAATCATTATGCGGCTGAGAACGATTATTTCACGGTATCTGATATGCCCCTTATTCACTGACTGTCTATGCCACCGCTTTTTTAGACCTCCCCCGTGTGGACCTGAATCTCTGAATTTGGAGCAGAGTTATTTTAAGTCTTCCTTTCTCGCTTCAATTGCGGTTTATTTGACAAATCACAGTAAAACGGCCATAAAAAACGCTGGCAAGACGGACTAGCTAAACGCAAAACAGATTGTTTGAGGGACAAGAATATCTGAGTGCGTATTGTGAGTTGTTGGTCAGCAGTACGATTCGCGATTGAAAGGAGTTGAATAACGAGTTAGCTGGTACTTTTATCCTCGATTGATCGCAATTTCCTCTGCTTGTCTTTACCTCTCCGTCAGCAATCACCAGAAGAACGCTTTGATTCAGGTTTCAGCTTTCATATTTACTGTAGGATTGGTATTTGAAGTAGTGAGGAGGGTAGTGAAGAGATGAATGGAAAAAGTTCGCTCGTTGACCTGCGTCAGATAGGTGACCAACCATTTTGCCTATCAAGCCATATAACAAGTAGTGAAATCGGGGAACCTGGAGTCTAAATTAGAGAAAAGTATGATGTTAGGACTGCAACAAGTCGGCAACAATGGTTTGCGCTATATCTTGTTTATAAATGAAAAACGGTCCGATTTACTGTCCGGTGCTGATGCAGTTCATTAGCTGGTGTTCTACCTGTGAAGGCCCGGGTTCGATTCTCAATCGGGTCGATGGATTCGCTCTAATGGTGAAACCAAACCAGGTTGAAGAAGCTGTCCAATGCTTCCTAGCCTCTCACTTCTCGATTTATTTGCTTTGAGCACGGTGAAAATCACCATGGAATCTAATCGTAAAACACTTATATCGTGAGGAATCACTATGGGTATGTTACCTGACAACCGTTGTATTCTTGGCTCAGTTCGACTTTTGCGTCGTTCGACTTGTTTTGACATGTAGAGAACACAGCTGATGTTCTTCCACTGGGTAATATTTCATAATTTATATCACAAAGATTTACTATAGAAGGCTCAATAAGAGATTTCAGTTCCATAACCGAATGTCATTTACATTTTGAGCATCCTGCATATGCACTGTGTAGACTGTGGTGCTGGTCATAGGTGGCTCTGACTTGCGTTTGTACGTAAAGCAGGTGGGGGGGGGCGAATCGACAGGCGGATTCCGATCACTTCCGCTGCCTTCAGAATGGGACTTCTAATCCACCTAGGTTGACCGATTACAGACAAGATGACAGAGTTGAAATACATCGAAGATATTATCCACGTGCTATTATGGCTTTGCTAGGCCCTAATACAATAAAAATTATCAGACCAAAAGTTATGATCATAATTGTGATATGTTAGTCATTGTGGAAGGATCATTAAAAATGTGCATGTTCGTGGTTAATTTTCTTCAAACACGTATGACAGTTAAATACTTAGACACAGATATTCTTTTTGGCTATTAGTTCGTTTCGAATATAATCCTCATGTTTATGCCATTAAATTTCAAGAAAGGATTATGTTTTCTGGGTTGATCTAAGTGATATTAACTAAACTCTGGGTAATAATGTTTCACTCCAATTTACCTCTGATGAAGATTACTGTGTAACTTGAGCAGTGGAGATGATCGAGCAGTTTTATGTTCCACCGCATGTGGCAAACGAAACACCCATAAAATGTTTACTTCACCCGGAGGGTAAGAAAGATTTAAAGGAACTGAAAACCAATCAAGAAATATTTAGACGACACAAATTCACTGTTTTTCTGATTGATAAAGTCTGTTTGTTTTAGATCCGTTTTATTAGCGGATACGAGAATGTTCAGATTGTTGGTTTTAATCGCTCATTTGTTTATATGACTCGACCTCTACTTTTCCCATATCTTAATTTCTTCAACCCAAGCAAATAAATCGTCACCAATGGTAGCATTCTTTTTGCTTCATACAATTACTATCTTCCATGAAATCCGTTGATGAGAAAACGTTTCACAGCTATGATTCAAGTCGTTGTCGTGTAATTGCACATTTCAGAATTTGAGCGATTATGCACACTTCCGTGTTTCCTGTTTTTTTCCGATACACGTTTGTCTCTATAGATCTTGGGAACAATAGCTTTCTGAGTACTTATCTGATACCTGTCA